TATTTCAAGCATAATAAGGCTTTTGTTGCTTTCTTGTTATGCACAAAGCTACACAATGGGCTAACGTGGGTTTTTAAATCCGATTTTTTAGTGTTATAAGTCATCAGATTTACCACTAAACCGCAGGAGGGCGGGAGAGATGAGGCTTGAGTGACAAGGCACACAGTATACAACATTCAAGTTGTTGTTAATTTAGATGTTTGTGTTAATGTTGACTGGGAGGCGTTTTGACATCGCGTAATGAGCTAATATCCAACCGTCTGGAATTTTCTTGAAAGACTGGGTAACGATTTCAATGATATAAAACGCATATTAGGCAAGATTAAAAGTGGTTGTTGCTCATTGATTAGTGAATCAATTACGGTGACTGATTTATTTATTAGTCAGCCAGTTTGATAGTTCAATACTGAAAATTTTGTGTTTGTATTTTCTACGATGTACTACAGATGTTAGAAATACAATGGTACGATTAAATTAGAAATTGATTTCAGTAGGCCTATCTTTAGTTAGAGGGAACTTCCACAAATCGTGGTTGAAGAAATAAAATGCTTTCGTTACCATTAACTGAACTGGACATACTGAAAATACCCACCCAATAACAGAAACCGTTGCAATAATATGATTTCAGGAGGTCAACTCAGTACATTGAGCAACCAACTTCCAGTGTCGTTGTCGTAGGAAAGTAAGAATATGTCTAAAATCAGACATTTTCAGATACAAAAATGAAACTACTATGTCTAGTAGAGTTTTATTTCTTTTGTTATTAAGCACAGAGCTACATAGTGTACTATTTGTGCTACGCCCACCTTAGGTATCGAAACCAGATTTTTAACATTATAAGCCCTCAGATTTATCACTGAGCCACCATTAAATGGGGATGGGTGGGCTGAAAATGCTTAAAAAGACAAGCTCCCACGTAACTGTTACCACTGAATTAATTATTGTGCGAGTTGTAAAAGCTCTATGAGTAGATATTTTTCAACTGATTGATTGCTAATTAGTCGTTAGCTGAACCACCAGAAGACATAGCAGCCGAAATTTGAGGAGTGGAATGAAAAACAACACAACAAAAAACTTGCTTTAAACGTTAACATATATATCTTAAAGATTTAAACTATCTAAAATGTGTTTTCATTTCAAACAACACTTCGCTGTTTTACTTACTCTACAAAAATGGATATATTTGTTTGTTTTTATTGAATAAAACTAGAGGATGACAATCGGTGGTAGCCGTCCCTAAGGGTTTGTTTGTTTGTTTGTAATTAAGCCCAACCTACACAATGGGCTATCTGTGCTCTGCCCACCACGGGTAGCGAAACCCGGGTTCTAGCGTTGTAAGTCCGCAGACATACCGCTGTGCCACTGGGGGGCAACTTAGAAGGGATATTCTAGAACAGTACCTCTCAAACGTGTTGTTCGCGGACTACCTGACGTTTATCTCGACAAATCACAATAGAATCTATACAATATGTTTCTGCTTTTTTTTCTATAATTACGGTTCCCCGGTGGGACAACGGTAAGTCTACCTACTTACAACATTAAAATTCGGAGTTCGATTCCCCGCACTGGACAAATAGTCCAATGTGGTTTTGCTCTGAAACAAACAAACAATAATTGCGCAACCTTTCCACAGATTGAGAACCGCTGAGGAAAGCCAACGAGTCAACGACAACCACCGCCAATCAGGCCGAATAATGGAATTTGACAGTCACGCTTATAAGGAACTCACTGTCCCAAAGGTTTTTTTTTTTTCTTACGGTAACCGTTACGTGAATCACGAAACCTCAGATAAACAATCCCGCACGATAACTATTTGACCGCGCTAGGCCCAAAAGTAAATAAAATTTCAAAATACTTTCATAATAAAAAAAAAATATGATTGGCTTTTGAAAAACGTTTTCTCTGCAATATGTATATATATATATCAATAAAAATGATAATATCAACCATCTTTCATAAATATTAACCAACCTCTAAGAATTATGTTTCCCTACCTTGTTAACGAAAAAATAATAGATTTTGTTCTCCTGTTCGCAGAATACAGGTATAAAATTTCTATGGAAGAAGCGCGAAAATCCTGTTATGATATTGGTGTATGGTACACGGCTTTGTGTCAGAAGTCTTTTCTCTCTCTCTCTCTGATGTTAAACAAATTCTTGAAACAAGAAATACCAAGTAAGCATGTGTGTGTTTCCCACAGTTATCACAACAATAATGGTAGATCCGTAACGCTAGTCGATAACGTAAGATAAAGAAGTGTCTAATACCTTTATTAGTTATATATAACGATAAATTACAAAATTTCATTCGATATACATATATGCACACACACACGTACGCAGGCACTAAAATCAATATTTAGCTTGCTTTAAAGTATCATAGCTAGCTCAAAAGCTTCCAGTAGTTTTAAACACCATCAACTTAAGCTTTAAATACTTTCGCAGTAGCCATAATGATCATTTTGTTTTTGCTCTCACTTTACATACTGAACATTTTGTGGTTAATTCAGGTTAAAATGAATCACTCATTTGCAATTCTAATTGCAAACGGTCCTCGCTATTATTATACATATATATATATATATATATATTTATACTAGCTGTGTACCCGTCCTTCGTACGGGTTGTGTGTATAAATAATACATTAATTTAACAATTAACAAACAAATTACTTGTACATTATTTACATTACATTTTAAATTTTTATTGTATATT